AAGGGGATGTGGGGGAGGGGGGGAAGAAGTGGAGCTGTGGTTCAAGTGGTAGAGCATTAGCCTTGAGCCAAAAAGCCAAGGGATGGTGCCCAAGCCCTGAGATCAAGCTCACCTTGGGTGACTTACCTGTGCCTGCCTCCAAGACTCCATGCTCCGATCCCTGGTACCTTCCTGAGTTATCTGCTTTGGTATCCATCTCTCCTGTCTGCTGTCTCCTGAGCTCTGGGGGGAGGTTTGTTTGGCTTCTCAGCTTGTTCTCACAGAAATATGTGCATTGCTTAGGGTGCTGTCCACAGGTCGAGACACAGCTGACACACTTTCTCAGGAGATGGTCATAGTAGTACTTGCCTGGCTCCTTGGGACACTTGAGAGACTCTGGGAGACAGGAATGAGTGATAAGGTCCTACAAAAACTCTGGGTCTGGTCTCAAAGTAGATCAAAGTGAAATCATAGTCTGATTCTCAAAAAGCAATTCCAGAACAATCTAGGTCCTTTTACACTACCTACAAATTGAAGGCTATGCATTATCCTCTTAAGTGCTATTCTAGCTGCATTGTACACATTTTGATATAGAGTATTTTTTATGTATCTAGTTCACATCTATGTTTTTTAATTTTTTGTTATTGTAAGGATTATGTACAGAGGGGTTACAATTACGTAAGTCAGGTAAAGAGTGCATTTCTTTTTGGACAATGTCACCCCTACCCTTGTTCTTTCCCAGTTTCCCCCTTCCTTCACCCACAAGTTATATAGTTCATTTTCTTTCTTTCTTTCTTTGTGGTCGGTCATGAGGCTTGAACTCTGGGCCTCGGTGCTGCCCTCAGTTCTTCAGCTCAAGGCGAGTATGCTGCCACTTGAGCCATAGTGCCACTTGGAGATAAAAGTCTCACGGGGGACTTTCCTGCCTGAGCTGGCTTTGAACTGCAATCCTCAGATCTCAGCCTCCTGAGTAGTTAGGATTACAGGTGTTAGCCACTTGTAGCCAGGGGTATAGTTCATTTTCAACATAGTATCTAGTGTGTATCATTGCTGCATTTGTTTACCCTTTGTCCTGCCATTTCCGCCCCCCCCACCCTCCCTGAGACAGATAAATGAACAAATAAGACAAAAGGAAATGAAAACAGAAAAAGATCAACAAAGAAAAAAAAAAACAAAAACCTTGTTTCCATTTCCTGGAGTACTGTCCCTCAGCTCTTCAGCTCAAGGCTAGCACTCTACCACTTGAGCCATAGCACCACTTCTGGTTTTCTGAGTGGTTTATTGGAGATAAGAGTCTCATGGACTTTCCTGCCCAGGCTGGCTTTGAACCACAATCCTCAGATTCAGCCTCCTGAGTAGCTAGGATTACAAGCGTGAGCTACTGGCACCCAGCTTGTTCCTGAGTTCTTTTTGCTCAAGGCCAGCATTCTATCACTTTGAGCCACAGTTCCACTTCCAGTTTTGATTGGTTAATTAGAGATCCAAGGACTTTTCTGCCTGGGTTGGCTTTGAACCAAGATCCTCAGATCTCAGCCTCCTGAATAGCTAGGATTACAGGCATGAGTCACTGGCAACCAGCTGACATCTGTTTTTGTTTTATTTTTGTTCTTGTTTTTGCTTTTTGTCAGTTGTGGGGCCTGAACTCTGGGCTTGGGTGCTGTCCCTCAGCTCTTCAGCTCAAGGCTAGCACTCTATCACTTGAGCCACAGCACCACTTCCGGCTTTTTCTGCTTATGTGGTGTTGAGGAATCGAACCCAGGACCTTATGCATGCAAGGCAAGCACTCTACCACTGAGTCACCTTCCCAGCCCCTGACATCTGTTTTTTACTTTTCATTATTATTTCTTCTTTGACCTATGGAATCTTTTTTTTTTTGTCAATCATAGGGCTTGAACTCAGGGCCTGGGCACTGTCCCTGAGCTGCTTTTGCTCAAGGCTAGCACTCTGCCATTTCCATAGTGCCACTTCTGGCTTTTTCTGTTTATGTGGTACTGAGGAATTGAACCCAGGGTTTCATGCATGCTAGGCTAGTACTCTACCACTAAGCCACATTCCCAGCCCACACAGTTTTAAATTTGTTTAAAAACCCACATGTAGCCAGGCGCGGATGGCTCATGCCTATAATCCTAGCTACTCAGGAGGCTGAGATCTGAGGATCATGGTTCAAAGCCAGCCTGTCAGGAAAGTCCGTGAGACTCTTATCTCCAGTAAAACCACTAGAAAACTGGAAGTGGTGCTGTGGCTCAAGTGGTAGAGTACTCTCCTTGAGCTGAAGAACTGAGGGACAGCGCCCAAGCGCAGAGTTCAAGCCCCATGACCGATCCAAAAAAAAGAAAGAAAACTGAAAGTGGCACTGTGGCTCAAGCAGTAGAGCACTCACCTTGAGCTGAAGAGAACAGGGACCGTGTCCAAGCCCCACAACCAACAAAAACAAACAAAAAACACATGTAAAAAAAGTTGGAAAGGGGCTGGGAAGGTGGCTCAGTGGTAGAGCGCTTGCCTTGCATGCATGAGGCCCTGGATTCAATTCCTCAGCACCACATAAGCAAAAAGAAAAAAGCTAGAAGTGGCGCTGTGGCTCAAGTGGTAGAGTGCTAGCCTTGAGCTGAAGAGCTGAGGGACAGCACCCAGGCCCAGAGTTCAGGCCCCACAACCGGACCCCCCAAAAAAAAGTTGGAAAATAAAAAGACAGCATTATAAGGATTTTTTTTTAATTTTGAAGCTAATGATGGGCACACAAAGGTTTGTTGTGTCATCCTATCTCCATGTTTGTGTATGTTTGATCATTTCTGTAATAAAACATTTCAAAAGAAACTAATCACATACAAAGGAGGGCCTAACTCCTGCTGGGCAGAGGGCTGAGAATTGAAGGTTAGGTAGGGAGAAACTGAGGGAAGCTGAATGAGGAAAATACATTCCAGGCAAAGGGACAGCATGTGCAAAGGGCCTGAGGTAGGAGAGAATGTGGCATGTTCAAGAAAACAAATGAATTAGTGTGGCTGGAGCAGAAAAAACGGAAGGGTAAAGAAATGCTACGTTTCGCCGGGCGCTGGTGGCTCACGCCTGTAATCCTAGCTACTCAAGAGGCTGAGATCTGAGGATCGCGGTTCAAAGCCAACCCGTGCAGGAGAGACCGTGAGACTCCTATCTCCAATAAACCACCAGAAAACCGGAAGTGGTGCTGTAGCTCAAGTGGTAGAGCGCTTGCCTTGAGCTGAAGAGCTGAGGGACAGCGCCCAGGCCCAGAGTCAATGCTACGTTTTACATGTTCTCCCCACCCCCTGTTTCACCACTGTGGGGCCAGAGGCGAATCTGGGGGAAAGTGAGGTGAATGGTGGGCCCCTTGTCTCCTTGGCTGAGTCCCAGAACTTACTGCAGAAGGCCACACAGGTGCTCAGGTTCTGATGATCGCAATTCAGCTTGCAGGAGATGCAGCGATGCAGCAAGGGATTCCAGTACTGCTCTTTTGGGCAGGATCCCATAGCTGCCTCCAGTCCCAGGCCCTGCAGAGCTGAGAGGTGGGCATGTGAGGGCAGCAGGCAGCAGATTGGAACCCAAGAGGCTCTCCTACCCTCATTCCCAGAGACATCCTCTGACCCAGCTGGCTGTGTTCACTGAGGAAGGCACGGTATCCTCCTCTCCCAGCCTCAGTTTCTCCTCCTGCAAAATGATTGTTGTAAAGTTTCCTCTTTCTCACACCTGCTGCACCTTGCTTGCCCCTGCTTTTCTGTCCTCTTTCTGTGTTAGGCTTCTAACCACAGGCTCTTTCCACGTAGTATTTTTCCACTGCATGAAATGTTCTACTCCCCCGCAGCTCAACCCCTTCAGTTGGTTCATCCTTTCTCATCCTTGGGAATCACTGTTTAAGCTCTGCTTCTTTGGGAAGACTATCTGGCTCTCCAACACTCTGATGTTAACAGCTATAATTTAGCTGTAAGCCTAGCTACTTGGGAGACTGAGATCTGAGGATCGTGATTCAAAGACAACCCAGACAATAAAGTCCATGCGATTCTTATCTCCAATTAACATCCAAAACCAAAGCCAGAAGCAGACCTGTGGCTCAAGGGGTACAGTGCTAGCTTTGAGCAAAAAAGCTCAGGGACAGTGATTGTCTTGAGTTCAAGCCCAGGACCACCACCTAAATAAATAAATAAATAAATGGTGGAAGAGAGGTCACAAAGTTTCTGAGAGACAGCATAGTAATTAAACTTTCCATTCAGCCAGTACAAGCCTAGAAAGGTTAGAGAATTATGCAAGTCAGGCTTTTTGATACTCTACCCACCTAAGAATCAATGATAGGTTTCATAACCTAAAGTGGATTCAAATCTTTTTTCTTTTTTCTTTTGGTCTGGTTGTGAGGCCTGAACTCTGGGCCTGGACACTGTCCCTCAGCTCTTCAGCTCAAGGCTAGTGCTCTACCTCTTGAGCCACAGCGCCGCTTCCGGCTTTTTTCTTTTTGCTTATGTGGTGCTAAGGAATCGAACCCAGGGCCTCAGGCATGCAAGGCAAGCATCCTACCACTGAGCCACCTTCCCAGCCCCTCAAACAGATTTTTCTTTATCTTCCCAGGCAGGTAAAGCCATGTCCTAGATAGCAGATATAATTCAGTAAACCTCCCTCACTCCTTACTGTGACTCTGCCTGTTGGGCAGGTCCTGTGCAGTGTGATTCGCACCCTAGAGATGACCCACCTTCAGGGTATTGAAAATATGTTCAGCCAGGTGTTGGTGGCTCATGCCTGGAATCCTAGCTACTCAGAAAGCTGAGGATGGCAGTTGGAAGCCAGCCCAGGTGGGAAAGTCTGTGAGACTCTTATCTCCAATTAACTACCATAAAAATGCCGTAAGTGAAGCTATGGCTCAAGTGGCAGAGCATAAACCTTGAAGGAGAAAGTTCAGGGATGGTGCCCAGGCCCTGAGTTCCAGGCACAGCGTGCGCATGCGTGCGGACACACACAACTTTTTTAAACACTCTTCTGACACCTTTACACACAAAAAAAATAAGATAGATATGGTCAACATAAGCACATGGGAAGACATTGAGGGTCATTATGAGAGAAACGTGAGCGGTATGGAGAAACATGAACGCTTCATGCATCCTCCTGAAGATGTGTGCACACAGCTGCTATGGAAAATGATTGTGCAACTCCTACCAAAGTTCAACACATGACTACCATGTGACCCAGCAACTCTACCCCTAGAGGGATCTGTAAGCAGCAATACAAACAGGCCCACCAGCATTCACAGCAATACAACCTAATAGCCCAAAGGCAGAAACAACCACTGATCAGCTCATCGTAAGACTGATAGATAAACAAGGTGTTCAATGTATACAAGGGTATAGAGGGAATATTACTCAGATAGTCAAATGAATAGGTGAGTCACTGTGAAATAAGCCAGACACAGAAGGATTGACAGTATATGATGCCCCTTATATGAAGTAACTGGAATAGGCAAATCTCTGGAGATGGGAAGTAGAATAAGCCAGGCATGAGGATTGTGAATTTGATGTAAGCCTGGCTACATAGCAAAGTCTGTCTCAAAAGAGAGTAGAACAAAAGAAAAGAAGAGAGGGAAGGAGGGAAGGGAGGAAGGAAAGTAGGCTGGAAGAATAGAGAATACAACACTTCTGTTAATCAGGAAGCTGATACCTGGAGGTTCAGAGTTCGAAGCCATCCCAGGCAGAAAAGCCTACAAAACTGTGTCCAATTAATCGGCAAAATGCTGAGTTAAAAGCATAGCTCAAGTGATAAAAGTGTCAGCCATAAGCAAGAAAGTGGGATAATGATGAAGCCCTGCATTCAAATCCTGGAAAATAAAAACAAAAAGCCAACTTCTGTTGGAGGACTGAAAAAGTTTGGGTATAGTCAATCCGTAGTGATTGAGCATTGCTTAATGTCCTTGTATTGTGTGTAAAACAATTAAGATGGTATATTTTGTTACATACACTTTTACTATTAAAAACCAAAACAGGCCTGGCACTAGTGGCTCATGCCTGGAATCCTAGCTACTCAAGAGGCTGGCATTGGAGCATTGTGGTTCAAAGCTAGCCCAGGCAGGAAAGTCCATGAGACTCTTATCTTCTATAAACTACTCAGAAAAAGCCAGAAGTAAGCCAGGCACTAGTGGCTCACACCTGTAATCTTAGCTACTCAGGAGGCTGAGATCTGAAGATTGCAGTCCAAAGCCAGCCCAGGCAAGAAAAGCCGAGAAACTCATTTCCAATAAACCACCAGAAAAAAAAAAAAAAAGAAAGGAAATGACGCTGTAGCTCAAGTGGTAGAATGCTAGCCTTGAGCTGAAGAGCTGAGGGACAGTGCCCAGGCCCACAGTTCAAGCCTCTTGACCGACAACAACAACAACAAAAAAGCCATAAATGGTACTGTGGCTCAAGTGGTAGAGTGCTAGCCTTGAGCTGAAGAGCTGAGGGACAGTGCCCAGGCCCACAGTTCAAGCCTCTTGACCGACAACAACAACAACAAAAAAGCCATAAATGGTACTGTGGCTCAAGTGGTAGAGCATTAGGCTTGAGCAAAAGAAACTCAGAGACAGCACCGAGGCCCAGAGTTCAAGCCCTAGCACTGGCAGAAAGAAAGAAGGAAAGAAAGAAAGAAAGGAAGGAAGGAAGGAAGGAAGGAAGGAAGAAAGAAAGAAAGAAGAAAGGAAGGAAGGAAGGAAGGAAAGAAAGGAAAGAAAAAAAGAAAGAAAAGAAAAGAAAGAAAGAGAGAAACCTAGAAGAAACAAAACGGAAGAAAAATGTGGGACAGTGTTTTCCAATTCATAACAGAAAAGTTTCCAGGCTGGATCACTGGGTGCTGTCAATCAAGTGTGGGGTGACTAAGCAGGATGCCAGACCTGCAAAGGGTCTGGGTAATGCTTAGAGAATAGAATGGGGCCAGAGAGGAGACCCAGCCAGGAGAGACCCAGGGGTGGGTCAGGGTGGGGAAGAACTGTGACCCTCTCAGCAGGAGGTAAGCCTGCAGATTATTAGATGATGAAAAAGGTCCCCAAAGACTTCAAGGTAAGAAGAAAAAAATATCAAGGTCATCAAGCCGGGCACAGGTGCCTCATGCATGTAATCCTAGCTGAGATCTGAAGATTGTGGTTTGAAGCCAGCTCAGGCAGAAAAGGCCTTGAGAAACTTTTTTTTTTTTGTCAGTCATGGGCCTTGAACTCTGGGCTTGGGCGCTGTCCCTCAGCTATTTAGATCAAGGCTAGCACTCTACCACTTGAGCCATACTGCCACTTCCTGCCTTTTCTGTTTATGTGGTGCTGGGGAATTGAACCCAGGGCCTGATGCATGCAAGGCAAGCCCTTCCCAGCCCCCTGAGAAAGGCTCTTATCTCCAATTACCTATCAAAAACCAGAAGTGGAGTTGTGGCTCAAAGTGGTAGAGTGCTAGCCTTGAGCAAAAAAAAAAACAAAACTCAGAGACAGCACCTAAGCCCTGATTTCAAGCTCCGCAACCACCACCACCCTGCACCCCCCCCCACCCCACCAGGTGGTGGTTTCTTTACAAGCTTGAACTTCTCAAAGACTTCTTGATCTAAAACCTAGAAATCCATAGGAAAAAAAAAAAAACTGATAAAACCAAACACCCAAGACAAATAAAGCAAACAGATAAAAACCTTGATAACAGCAAACTTCTTATGGGAAGCCCCACAGACACAGGGAAACCGGAAACATTTGCAAAAGAGAGAGAAAAAAATAAAACAGCCATCAAACAGAAAACTGGGCAAAGGCCATTGACAGGCAGTTCACAGACAGGGAAATACACGTTAAAGATGTTAGTCTCATGCCTCTCATGGAGGGGCAAATTCAAAGGACATGTCATCTCCCCCTAACAGAATGTTGAAAATCTACAAGTTTAAAACTGGCCATTGGCTAAGCCACAAGGAAAAGTGACACTCCTTCTTTATGTAAGGAAAATAATCAGGAAGGACCTTCATGGAACACAATTGGCTCAGTGACTAAACGCTGGGATTTTTCCCGCAGCAAAAAAAGTTAGGATTCCTTACAGCCATGTTTGTGACAGCCAAAGTAACCTACACGTCCATCAGTTAAGAAATGACTGAGTAGGGGCTGGGAAGGTGGCTCAATGGTAGAGTGCTTGCCTTGCATGCATGACCTCCTGGGTTTGATTCCTCAGCACCACATAAGCAGAAAAAAGCCGGAAAGAGCCCAGGCCCAGAGTTCAGGCCCCACTACACACACACACACACAAAAGACTGAGTAAATTACAGTCATTTGATCACTATAAATTACAGGAATGTAATTTACACTGTCCTACAATACATTATGGATTGGATTATCACAGAACTCTGTAAGCATATTAGAAGCATGAAATTGTATCTTTTATTTAGTGTATATGTATTCTAGTAGTAGAGGTTGAACTCAGGACCTCAACTCTCTCCCTTAGTGTTTTTCAAACAAGGCTAGTGCTCTATCACTTGAACCACAGCCCCACTTCTGGTTTTTTGGGGTTTTTTTTGGTCGGTGGTGGGGCTTAAACTCTGGGCCTGGGCGCTGTCCCTCAGCTCTTCAGCTCAAGGCGAGTGCTCTACCACTTGAGCCACAGCGCCACTTCCGGTGTTCTGGTGTTTTATTGGAGATAGGAGTCTCACGGTCTCTCCTGCCCGGGCTGGCTTTGAACCTCGATCCTCAGATTTCAGCCTCCTGAGTAGCTAGGATTACAGGCGTGAGCCACCAGCGCCCGGCGTTTTTTTGGGGTTTTTTTGTTTTGTTTTTTGGTCAGTTGTGGGGCCTGAACTCTGGGCCTGGGTGCTGTCCCTCAGCTCTTCAGCTCAAGGCTAGAGCTCTACCACTTGAGCCACAGCGCCACTTCTGGTCTTTTCTGCTAATGTGGTGCTGAGGAATTGAACCCAGGGCCTCATGCATGCAAGGCAAGCACTCTACCACTGAGCCACCTTTCCATCCCCCACTTGTTTTTTTTTTTTTTAATGTGTATTTGGAGGTAATCTCATGGAGTTTTCTGGCCTGGGCTGACTTTGAACAGCAATTCTCAGATCTCAGCCTTCTGAGTATAAGATTACAGACATAAGCCACCAGTACCTGGCAAATTATACGCTTTACACAGATGAACTTGACTGTGTAGAAATTCTGTCAATGCGCCACTATTCCTATAAATGACAGACACTGGGCAGATGAAAGAAAAGGAGAGAAAGAGAACTCTCTGTTGCTATCTTTTATCCTTAGTTTCAAATGTTGACTATGTTCTGTATTGATTGGCTCATGCCTATAATCCTAGCTACTTGGGAGGCTGAGATCTGAGGATCACTGTTCAAGGCCAACCCAGACAGAAAAGTATTCAAAACTCCATTTCCAATTAACTAGCAAAAAAAAGGGCTGGAGGCATACCTCAAGTGGTAGAGCAACAGCCAAGCAAGCAAACAGAGTGAATGCCAAGATCCTGAGTTCAAACCTCAGTACTGGGGCTGGGAAGGTGGCTCAGTGGTAGAGCGCTTGCCTTGCATGCCTGAGGCCCTGGGTTCGATTCCTCAGCACCACATAAGCAAAAAGAAAAAAGCCGGAAGTGGCACTGTGGCTCAAGTGGTAGAATGCTAGCCTTGAGCTGAAGAGCTAAGGGACAGCGCCCAGGCACAGAGTTCAGACCCCACGACCAGACCAAAAAAAAAAAAAAAAACACACAAAAAACCTCAGTACTGCTGAAAAAAATAAAAATAAGAGCCGGGTACCAGTGGCTCACACCTATAATCCTAGCTACTCAGGAGACTGAAATCTGAGGATCACAGTTCAAAGCCAGCCCAAGCAGGAAAGTCCATGAGACTCTTATCTCCAATGAACCACCAGAAAACCAGAAGTGGAACTGTAGCTCTCAGTGGTAGAGTTCTCGCCTTGAGTGAGAAAGAGCTCAGGGACAGTGCCCAGGCCCAGAGTTCAATCCCCATGACCAACAAAAAATTAAAAAATGAAAAAAAAACTCATCCACAGCCTGGAAGCCACCCAGCCACTGGACCAGGTGGGGGAGACAGTGGCCAGGTGAACTCCTAATGGAACATCCAACTGATCAGAAGTGCTATCTCTGATCCCTTCTCCTCTACCCTCCCAGGAAACCCTTGAGAAAGCTTCTCTGCAGATGGACACGATAGAACTCCTCTCACACTCAGGACCTGTGGCTGGGTCACACCTTGGCCTCAGTGGGGCTCAGATCAGGACCGAGACTCCTCGGCACCCTAAGACCAGAGAGCAGCCAACAGGGACCATTCTTAGAGGCCTGTGCTTGAGCTTCCTGCCATGCCTGACTAGTTAACAGGTGCTGTACCAAGAACCGCCTCTGTGGTCAGATTAGCTAAGAAATGCCAGCTTCAAGATAGTGCAGGCCAGGCAGTGTCTTCTGGTACAAAGGAGGGGCGTGAGCCATGTCGGCACCATGTGGCATCAGCAGTAAGGCCAGCAGCAAATCAGTTGTCTGCCACGGCTTCTGTTCCAGATCTAAAACTACTTTTATACGGGAGTTACACCTACTGATCTTAGCAAAGATGATTTTTCATTTTCTCAAACTCTGAATTTATAAAATTGGCTCTGGCAATCACTAAGGTAGCAAGTTTATAGCTAGTGTTCTGTTCCGGTTCTCTTGAACTCAGGGCCTGGGCACTGTCCCTGAGCTTCTTTTGCTCAAGGCTAGTCCTCTGCCACATGAGCCACAGTGCCACTTCCTGCTTTTTCTGTTTATGTGGTACTGAGGAATTGAACCCAGGGATTCATGCATGCTAGGCAAGCACTCTACTACGAAGCCACATTCCCAGCCCTGGAATAAGATTGTATGAATGAGTGCACAATGTTATCCAATTGACATACAGTCTTAATTGGAGATAAGAGTCTCATGGACTTTCCTGCCTGGGCTGGCTTTAAACTGCAATCCTCAGATCTCAGCCTCCTGAGTATCTAGGATTGTAGGCATGAGCCACAGCACCCAGTCTTGTCATTGATTTCTATTTGACAAGATATCTATTTGAGAAAAAACCATTGTTTGTTATATTACTTAAATTAACATGGTTAGCATTTAATTGATTTTATACTTTATTTATGTATTTTGTATGTGTATGTCAGTACTGGAACTTAAGTTCAGGGCCTGGGTGCTGTCCCTTAGCCTTTTTGTTCAAGGCTGGAGCCATCATGGATTTTCCTACCTGGGCTCACAGCTCAGCCTCCTAAGTAACTAAGATTACAGATGTAAGCCACCAGTACCAGGCTTTGCTTTTATTTGTTAATGAGAACTGTAAATACCCCCCCTTTTTTTTTTTGGTCTGGTTGTGGGGCCTGAACTCAGCCTGGGCTCTGTCTCTCAGCTCTTCAGCTCAAGACTAGTGCTCTACCACTTGAGCCACAGGCCACTTCCGGCTTTTTTCTTTTTGCTTATGTGGTGCTGAGGAATCCAGGGCCTCAGGCATGCAAGGCAAGCACTCTACCACTGGGCCAACTTCCCAGCCCTGTAAATACCCCTTTTTAAGTTGACACAAATAACAGATAAAAGTATTGAAATAGCAGATCACTGGTGCTACCGGCCTGTAATCCTAGTTACTAAGAGACTAAGATCTGAGGATCGCCAGTCCAGATAGCAAAGTCTATTGAGACTCTTTTTTTTTTTTTTGGGGGGGGTCCGGTCTTGGGGCCTGAACTCTGGGCCTGGGCGCTGTCCCTCAGCTCTTCAGCTCAAGGCTAGCACTCCACCACTTGAGCCACAGCGCCACTTCCGGCTTTT